ATATTTTTGGCATACAGACGATTGATTTTCGTGAGACTTCTAGGGTTTTCTGCTCTTTGAGAGAAAACGTGAGAAAGAAATAGGGTTTGATTCTTGATGCCTATTTTCACTCTAAATCTTTGATTTAGAGTATTGTAATAGCTAGATCTACATTCGATTGTAATATTCTGTGTGAATATTGAGAGGCTGTATTTGATTCCTCTGCTGTAATACTGTGTGTATATTCGAAGGGGTTCTTGGTGATTTCTGAGTGAATCGTGGCTATCATTTTAATGTACTTTGAGAGATAAGTTTCATATCTCTTTCTTGAAATCTCTGTAACCTTTGTTGCCTTTTTGTGGCTGATTTAGTGCATCTGAGCATATTCTTGTTTATGGATGCTCAACGGGGGATGTAGATGTTTGAAGCGGTCACCGAACCTCCGAGGCTACGGCCAAAACAAATCTTTGTGTTCATTCTTTAATTTTCTGCAGTTTTACTTTACTGTTGATATTATTGTTTGTTTCGAATACTTATATCGTGTTGTGGTTTGGGCCTTACAGATATTAATTAAACAGAGAATTAGAGCCAAAGATGACCTCTTGAAAGAAAGGATCGGCATCTAGGGCTGTACAACGGGCATCAACAATGAGCCTTGCTGCTAACACTCGGTGCAATATGGAGGCGTCTGGGGGTATCAAACATCCACAATCATAATTATTTAATTGATTCGGGGATTACTTGTATATGGCAGACAAGGTCGAGAAATATTTAGAAGGAATTTAGATCCAAATGTTTGTAGAGAAGTAAGTACCTTTAGACTGGTTTTTCAAGAACACAAGCATGTTTTTACATATTTGGTTTAAAGCTGATCATAATGTAGAGTTGATTGCACTCGACACTGAAAATCATCAAATTATATTTGAACTCTGCCAAGTAAAGAAGTGTAAGTAGCTATATTCTCTATATTTCAGGCACTTATCTACTACTCTCTCAAGCATGAAGTTCCTCTCATTGCTTTCAGTGAAGATCGTTGCTTAACATTGTTTGAACACCCTCTTGTGGACTCGCTTCATACTGTGTATCATGATCCCAAAGGTGCCTCGATACTCACTTTGTCTCTCTCATTTCTTTAAATAGGCCCCCATATTGGGTTTCTTGAAAATGTGTTTGCCATGGATTTTTGACTGGCAGAGATTATACCTTCAGTTGAGAGCTATTGGCAGGAGTAGACATGCAGGAGTGTTTTTCAGAACTCTACTAGATACATTATTTTCAGCGTAAAGGATCATTGATCATTGCTGGTCTTAGATACTGGGAGTGTGTGTGTGTGTGTGTGTGTGAGTGAGTGAGGACGAAGGACTATGAGCATTTTTTGGCAAAGATCCCAAGCCTTTTGCCAAAATAAAAGTATTTGAAGCTTAGATAAACATGCTGGAGATGGACGAAATGGTCTGCCTAATCTGTACTAGCTGGATGTTCTTAGCCTTTAGTGCATGGTTTTATCTACTTGACTGACTTGCATTGTTGCACATTCGTTTCGTGTTGTGGTCTGGGCCTTACAGATATTAATTAAACAGAGAATTAGAGCCAAAGATGACCTCTTGAAAGAAAGGATCGGCATCTAGGGCTGTACAACGGGCATCAATATGAGCCTTGCTGCTAACACTCGGTGCAATATGGAGGCGTCCGCGAGTATCAAACATCCACAATCATAATTATTTAATTGATTCAGGGATTACTTGTATATGGCAGACAAGGTCGAGAAATATTTAGAAGGAATTTAGATCCAAATGTTTGTTGAGAAGTAAGTACCTTTAGACTGATTTTTCAAGAACACAAGCATGTTTTTACATATTTGGTTTAAAGCTGATCATAATGTAGAGTTGATTGCACTCGACACTGAAAATCATCAAATTATATTTGAACTCTCCCAAGTAAAGAAGTGTAAGTAGCTATATTCTCTATATTTCAGGCACTTATCTACTACTCTCTCAAGCATAAAGTTCCTCTCATTGCTTTCAGTGAAGATCGTTGCTTAACATTGTTTGAACACCCTCTTGTGGACTCGCTTCATACTGTGTATCATGATCCCAAAGGTGCCTCGATACTCACTTGTCTCTCTCATTTCTTTAAATAGGCCCCCATATCGGGTTTCTTGAAAATGTGTTTGCCATGGATTTTTGACAGGCAGAGATTATACCTTCAGTTGAGAGCTATTGGCAGGAGTAGACATGCAGGAGTTTTTTCAGAACTCTACTAGATACATTATTTTCAGCGTAAAGGATCATTGATCACTGCTGATATTAGATACTGGGAGTGTGTGTGTGTGTGTGTGTGTGAGTGAGGACGAAGGACTATGAGCATTTTTTGGCAAAGATCCCAAGCCTTTTGCCATTTGAAGCTTAGATAAACATGCTGGAGATGGACGAAATGGTCTGCCTAATCTGTACTAGCTGGATGTTCTTAGCCTTTAGTGCATGGTTTTATCTACTTGATTGACTTGCATTGTTGCACATTCGTTTCGAGCTGGATGTTCTTAGCCTTTAGTGCATGGTTTTATCTACTTGAGTGACTTGCATTGTTGCACATTCGTTGCATTGTTACTTCAGCCTAAATCCTAAGTGCAATACACATTTATTTGCTTGATGCATCAATGTCCAAAACTCTTCATTGGATCTATAATTGGAATATGCAAACAGTTGGATTAGACTGATGCTCATGTCCTGCTCTGACTTCTCATTATTGGAGATGAGATGGAGAAAAGTTGAGCATGTGTATTTAGTCTTGGCTGTTAATCTGCTTAATGATCTATATGGAAACATAGATTACAATGTCTTGTTCTTCCTGATTCAGAAATACGCTCAAAACGAGGGGGCCAAAAAATCAATCTGGATGCTTTATCTATTTCATGCATGTCGATGAATTTTACACAACAAAAACACCTATTGCCAACTGTAGCTTACTCTGCAGATGACCTGCTATTCCATAAGGCCATAATTCCTAGTGTGGATCCTTCTTCTCTTTCGATTGTGTCCCCATCGATCTTAATTATCACATGATGAAGGATTTCTATGCATAAATCTCTTCAAATATACACGGTTTATAGCTGTTTTTCGTCCAATATTTCTCATCTTGGCTTGCCACTTGAAATTGTAGAAGCTGATCTTCTTAGCCACTGCTGAGGGAGTTTCTACCACTGCGCCCATTTTGGGCAGAAGCAACTGGGTAGGGATCATGCATCTGTTCTCCAAGCTGGTACCAGATATGCTTGAGATTGTTGTTGAAAAAAATGAATACAACGGCTGATTTTGGCATAAATTTTGAGTGGGACCGTTTGGTTATTTTGGAAGATCAAGATTGATTTATGTTCTCCTATGTGAGAATATCGAAATAATATATTTATTTGTCAAAAATGATGCTCGAGTGAATGAAAATTGGAGCTCAAAGTAATGCATTGGAAAATGTTTTGTGTTGAAGGGAAACTAGTTTAAAGTTATTCCACATAGGAAAATAGATGAATGCATGACTACTCTAAATATGATTGCACATTAGATTGATGTAATCATGTGTAGCATAGAGGCTCTCTTCACGTGCGTGCGTAGGGGTGCAAATCAAGGACCAAAATAAGTTTCGGACCTTGAATTTGTGTGCGGGCACAACCTACGTACACGAATTTCGAACCGAATTGACCAAAAATTAGCCATTAGGATGGTCCACATTTTATTTTATTTTTTCTAAGATCTTTCAAATTCTTTAACTCCTGAAACTCGTGTGATTATACCTGGATTAATGGTGGTTATTGACATAACTCATGAATTTTAATTCTCCATTACAATATATTTATTCAAAAAAAAATTAAAATTAAAATAAACACAAATAAAATATATCATTCCATGTCATTGATTTTTATTTTTTATTTCTTATGTTTTGCTTAATTTATTTGTTTTTTCATTAATATAACAAGATTCACCCACTTAGAATGCATATATTAATTGATAATATATTACATAATTTGTTTCTATTATACCGAAAACAAATTCTTAAAATTCCAACAAAATGTTTTTTTTAAGTTTTATGTTATGAGAAACAACCTTTCAGAATAACAATCTAATCACATTTTTAGTAATTTTAAATCGTACCCTCGTAACAAAAAATTGAAAATGAACTCAAAATTTAAAACTGAAATTTGAAACACCAATCACACGAGTCCCAAGAGTTTGAACTAAAATTCTCCCCTGAAAAATTACTGCTAAAAAACCTAAAATGTGTTTGGCATAAGATAAGCTTAGCCAAATGTTCCTCCAAATCTTATCCACACAATTTGCTCAAAGGTTCAAAATTTGCACGTAATTGTGGCATCTAAAGGTTTTCGAGTATTTGCCAATTAATTTTCTAATTACCCACTGAATATCCACCCTCTCAAATACAACCATTTAAGCCAAATCTTTCTTGGCTTGCTCAACCTCTTTTTATACAACTTCTAGCTGTAGAAGTAAATGAAACTTCTAAATACGATGATCATTTGTGTGCGCATTTCTGGAATTGGGCTGCTAGTTCATTGATAATGATTGTTGCTGGTGGGACACACGGTCTATTTGTATTAGAATCCAACTTTCCTATTGGCGATAAGGTCATGGCTATTGGCGATGGGGAAAATGATGTTGAGATGCTCGACCTGGCTTCTCTCGGTGTTGCTCTGAGTAACGGATCAGAGAAGGCTAAAGCAGCAGCGAATGTCATTGGTATTAGCAATGATGAAGACGGAGTTGCTGATGCCATCTATCGGTATGCATTTTGAGGATTTCTTTTGAGTATTAAACTTGAAACTTATTCCACTTTCTTAGGGAATATTTTTTGAGGTGCAATTGAAACAAGATAAGGAATATAATTGCACCACTTCGTTCAAATTCATGAGGAAATTTTTATAGTTAAAAACTTGTGGGTCTTGGTTCATATTTATTGATAAGAAGAAATAAGAATGTATGCAAAAAATTATGTTCGAATGATATTACTGTCATGATATTGTTGAGAATTTTAATTCTATGCAAAAATTATGTTTTAATTCCATAACTGCTGCCCTGCATGGAAAGCTTTTACCAGCATCAGTTCTTACCCCAAGTGAAGCCAGTACTTTTCAGTATTCCCCCTTAGCTATCCCATCTTCCAGCCTCGGCTAATGCATTGGATAATGGAACATATGCCCCAGGCCAACTCTTAGCATTTACATTTACATTTATATTGAAATGCTCGTTGGCAGCTATGTTTGCTAGCTCCACATCACCGTGCAGTCTACAAGAACTAACAAAGCTGCCCAAACGTCACACACAGGCTTTTCAGGCATTTGCTTTATTCATTCATGAGCTTGATTCGAACTTCTTGCACGGCCTAAGAGATCGACCCTACGAGCATAATGCTCATCTGGACTTTCATTAGAAAAACAGTTTTTCTAAGCAAATCAAAGGTTTCCTCAACAAGCCCATGTTTTATATACCCGGAAGTCATGTAGTTGCACCCCACAAAGTAACTCGAGGTAATTCATCTAACACAGGCATAGGACAAGCAAGAATGTTTGATGTAAAAGATAAGGAGCTTCATGGAAGTATTAACATGGCGTTTGAACCCAGTTTTAAGGGTGTACGAATGGATTTTTGGCCATGGGAAGAATGGTCTGAGTTGATGCAACGATGTAGAGCCGATGCAAGATAAAATACTGTAGATTTTCCTTAAAGACTCTGCATCATGATTTATATGATCATGATTGGTTCTTATATAATTATCTAGAATTTTGAGAGTTATTATCCTTACTGCACGTTTAGGCCATTAACATGGAGTGGATCCTAAGTACTTTCCCACAGTTATGCATTAGGTGCAATGATGAGGAGACTGCACGATAAATATGACCAGCAAAAGATCATAGTCAAATCTCATCAAAATTGAGAATGTCATGTCAAAATACAGATTATTGCGTGCAACAAAGTAGTACAAGCTGCGAGTACATCACAAGATCCAACAACTTAAGACGATCTATCGTAATGTGCATTTCTCCTAGCACATTCCAGGATGGTTTTGTCTGCCGTGATGAAGTATGCTGCAATTGATGCTATAGAACAGGAAGAAAAGCATATCAGTATTCTTAAACTTGGACGCGTATAACAAAATGGACACTGCTTGTTACTGAACACGCATCTCGCCCAAAAGAATCACTTAGAGGTTAAAACTTATAAAAGAAAAATAGGGTGCATTTAGAGGTGTAAAACGGGCTAGATGGGTCGTTGGGGCAGAGGCCCAGCGCAGTCTCATTAAAAAAGGCACGACATGCCCCCACATTGGTCCAGACAGGCCCAACATATTTTTTTCTTTTTTTAGTTAATTTTCTAAAAGAAAAATAGAAATAGCCTGCATGGCTGTGGGATTGGATAGTTGTCCCACACTGGGCATGCCAAACAAGAGCCGCGCACTGGTCCACCTTTACGCCTCAAGGCACGCTTACAGTAAAATTTTCTATGCTAGAGAGTCTAAACAGAGTCGGTGATCAAAAAACAAATTAGGCACACAAATTCATCCTAAATATATTAAAAACATGAAGCAACAAAAAATTTCAGGTACTTTAGCGTTATATATTGAGGAGAGGGGAGAAGCCAAACAGCCCTCTATAGAGTAACATGATTTGCTTGACAACAAATATATCCCAAGACCCCTTACCTCCCTTTTTCCCAAATAAAAAATAAGTTTTTGATATAAGCCAACAACGTAACTTAAAGCAAGTAGGATTAGAGGCTGTGCACGAGTCTTTGAAAAATGGATTATTGCAGGTAGACCAGTCTGTACCTTGTATTTTCATACTTGTGCTAGTTCTTCCATGTTTTCATATACTCAGATTTTTCAGTTTAGCCCCCGTTTGGTGCATATTTTGAAGGCAAAAATGCATTTTTACTGTTGATGTGATGGGGAATATGTGGTTGAAAAAGAAGGAAAAAATATTGATGTGATGAAAAATATTATTTTATTGAAGAATGTGTGGTTGGAAATGAATAGAAGAATGAGAATGAAAAAAATAATGTGGACCAAACAAGGCCTTAATCTTCAATTCAAGAAAACAAAAGAAAAACATAATTTACTTGAGAAATTTCAGCAATTAGTTATAGGCTTCCAATGCTTAATTCTGCTAATATTACATAAAAGGAAAGAGCAGTTGAAAACACCAAGAAATTTCCTACGCCATCTGACTTATGAGCAACCTAACAAAAATAACTTCTAGTATATTTGAATACAAGTCAACAATTAATGACAACAAAGGAATTCAACAGTCAAAATATAAAGCTAAGTTTCATATATTATGTATTATTTAATACAAATTAAATTCTTACTTACCAGCAGAGATAATGAGCGCCTGGGCAGTATAATTGAGATTTGCCTTTGCCCAAGGTACCTTTCGACAGACAATCAACTGCAAATTTTGTCAGGGGAATTTATTGATTATATATATATGGAAAAGGCTGAGTCATTTGTCAATGAAGAAAGGAAAGGCAAGTAGCATTAGTTAGTCTTACTCCCAAAAACAAAAAAGAAAAACAAAATTCATAATAGAGCCCATCTGAAATTGTAAAAAGTACAATGTAATTTACTTTAGTGATTGCCGAGATTTTATGGTACAATCCAACATGAGAAAATCATCGAGAACAAAGGCTTTGTTTGCTAGAATCAAAGCATACACATCTTGTACACATTTCATCAGTTGAGCATGTTTGGCCTAGCTTAAATAGCTTCATTATAAGTAAATAAGTTTTACAATAATTTCTTACTTAAATGTAAGAAACTAGTAAATTATCCAACATGCTTTAATACAAAAGGTAAAATTATCTTAGAATATTTTTTAAGCCTAGCAAACATGCTTTTTGGTAGTGAATGTTAACTGACATTCACTTACTGTCCTGAAGTCTATCTCCCGATAAAATTTCTCTAGATTAATGGTTGACCAGTTAAGAATTGAGAACATATTGACATGTTATGGGAAGGATTAATCCAGAATCATTATTCATGGTTAGAAGTTAGAACCAGAAATAAGGAAGAGAGAGTAAAGCTTTTCTCCTGCATGGAGCATTATGCAGAAACCCACTGTTTTTATTTTTCCCGCAAAACATCTTAAAAGAAACTTTAAGTAATACTTTTTCATAGTATTTGCAATAAACAATTAAGATGCTCAGAACCAAATTGCAAGGAATATAGTTCCAGAAAGGCAGGCTATGTATAGACTTGTTTGACATGCAGAACACACCTCCATCACCAAAATAAAAGGATCCTATTGACAAATCATCCAATTTTACCAACTCTCACGATCCTAAGCAAATACTTTGTAAGGCAGACACAAGTGCATCAGGGAGTGTGCATCTGCGTGTTGTAATGCTCTAAGATAGGCCTCGTTGGTTACTCTATTATAGAGTCAGTTGTGTCTGACTGAGCATGTTTGGCTAAGTTTATGGAAAAGTAATTCAAAATATGTTTACACATTACTTTTTCTCAATTTTAAGTAAAAAAAAAAAAGTTACTGTCAAATTTTAGAACAAAATTTGGTAACTTATGTATTTTCAAGTTTAACCAATCAAAAGAATTATTCATTTTAAAACTCACTTGTGTACTTATAAGTAAGCATTTTAGGGCCTGTTTGGTATAGATTTTCATTTTCTACAATAAATCAATTCTCATTTTTAACCACACATTCTTCAATAAAATAATATTTTTCATCACATCAATATTTTTCTCTTCTTTTTCAACCACACATTTCCCATCATATCACTATTCAAAAATCAATTCTTTCCCAAAAAATCCATACCAAACACATTCTTAAGCTTAAACAAACATGCTCTTAGTTCAACCAACTGCATGAAACATCGTGCAACATACAGTATACGCAGAATAAAATTTGAATTAAATCTATGATTGTCATCTCGTCTCACGCTTATAGGATATTCTAGTTTTCCATCTGGTTTTTACTTGTATGTAGATCCAAATTAATAGATTAAAGAATCCAAACATCTCATCAACAGTAGCACAATGCTACGATCAGAATATGCATCTAAAAATATTGTACCATAATCCAGAAACTAAACACAATCAAACATTTAACAAATAAAATGAAGGGAAATTGCTTACAGTAGGAACAGCACTGGCTACACCTGCAATTGCACCAGCTTTTACTCCGGCACGCACCCCTTCTGCAATTCAAATAAAGTTTGAGCTACATTCTAGTATCAGTTGATTCCATAATTTCTTTCAAAACCAACTTTAATTATTGGCAAAACAAATCGCTTCGAGAAATTTAACAATACATGTTCAAATTGTACATAACACAATATTTCGTAAAGAAACATTAATTAAAAACTGAAACCCTATTTTATCAAAGTAAAAATCGTGCAATGTATCAATGAAATAGAAATAAATCATTTTTGTCTCTTTAATCAATTTTCTCAAGAACCTATGTCAGAAATGCAATAAAAAAATTGTAAAACGACAGAGAAACCCAAATTTATCGAACCAAACCACTGTGCAACACATCAATTAAGTAGAAAGGAAATCATTTTTTTTTTCATTTTAATCAATTTTCTCAAGAAACCATGTGGGAAATACAATAAAAAATAAAATTACAAACAATTAAAGAAGATCCGAAAATTTTTGGAACCTTGAGTGCATTGCCTTGACCGGAGAATTCTCTCATCTTCGATTGGGGATGCGATCAACAAAGATTTGTTGCGATTTGCCCATGCGTCCCTCAATTCTGACGGGATTCCCATTTTCCACTGTTTTGATAATAGAATTCTTTTTATTGTTTCTCGATATATTGAGTTGTTGGTGGTGAGTTGAAGGGGAAACTGAGTTCAAATCGAGTTTGCGTTGCCACATGCGACGAGGCGCTAATTGGTGGGGCCAGATTAATTTATCCCACTTGGATAATAATTTATAAATAATATAGAAATAGAAATGACAACGGGACGAAGGTGCCCAATAGAGAATAATGCAACACGTACAGATTTTTTATCATAGAAATCTTACAGAATTTTAAAAAGTCTGAAGTGGCACTGCAAGATTCCTGAATATCCTGACAGCCACCGCCCCACCCCCTTTTACCTACCCAACCAAACCCAACACAGCAACGTGCCAACGTCTTTCTTTTTTCCTTTATTATTGTCCCAAATTTCAAAATTATCGCGTGGATGTTAAACGAAGTCAAAATATTACATCCTTAACACAATTTCGAAGTACTCACGACCTAGTTTATCGTATTCTTAACCGCGTGCAAAACGGCCAATCGTAGCAAAAGTTACCACTCGTCGAAATAGGCCGTTCCAAAAAATATAAATATTTTTTTCTTATTTTTATCTCAATTTTCGAGATAATTACGGGATATCAAACGAAATTGAAATCTCATATTTTTAACACCATTTCGAAGTACTCACGGCCTAATTTACTATATTCCTAACCGCATACAAAACGGCCAACCGTAACAAAAGTTACCACTCATCGAAATAGGCCGCTCCAAAATATATAAATGTTTTTTTCTTATTTTTATCTCAATTTTCGAGGTTATTACGGGATATCAAACGAAATCGAAATCTCATATTCTTAACATCATTTCGAAGTACTCACTGCCTAGTTTATTGCATTTCTAACTACGTGCGAAACGGCCAACCATAGCAAAAATTACCGCTTGTCAAAAAATCAGAAACAGCCTATTTCGACGAGTGATAACTTTTGCTACGATTGACCGTTTCACACGCGGTTAGGAATATAATAAATTAGATCGTGAGTACTTCGAAATTGTGTTAAAAATATGAGATTTCAATTTCGTTTGATATCCCGTAATAATCTCGAAAATTGTGATAAAAATAAGAAAAAACATTTATATATTTTGGAACGGCCTATTTCGATGAGTGGTAACTTTTGTTACGGTTGGCCGTTTTGTATGCGGTTAGGAATATAGTAAATTAGGCCGTGAGTACTTCGAAATGGTGTTAAAAATATGAGATTTCAATTTCGTTTGATATCCCGTAATTATCTCGAAAATTGAGATAAAAATAAGAAAAAAATATTTATATTTTTTGGAACGGCCTATTTCGACGAGTGGTAACTTTTGCTACTATTGGCAGTTTTGCACGCGGTTAAGAATACGATAAACTAAGTCGTGATTACTTCGAAATGGTGTTAAGAGTGTAATATTTTGACATCGTTTAACATTCACGTGATAATTTTGAAATTTGGGACAATAATAAGGAAAAAAGGAAGACGTTGGCACGTTGCTGTGTTGGGTTTGGGTTGTGGTTGAGTGGCTGCGTGGGTAGAAGGGGGTGGGGCGGTGGCTGTCAGGATATTCAGGAATCTTGCAGTGCCACTTCAGACTTTTTAAAATTCTGTAAGATTTCTGTGATAAAAAATTTGTCCGTGTAGCATTATTCTTCACTATATTTCGCCCCCGTTTGGCACCCATTTTTTTCTCATTCTCATTCTCATTTTTTTTTCTCTTTCTTCATTTCAACCACACATTCTATCAATAAAATAATATTACACATAAACTTAAAAATTTTCCTTACTTTTTAACTACACATTCTTCCATCAATCACTATTCAAAAACGCATTCCTTCACATAAATGGGTGTCAAACACCCATAACATTCAATATTATTTCTACTATTATTCTTTTTACAAAACATTTATGAATTTGTCAAACGGAGACTTGGTCAAATTGATCAACTCTGTTCAAAATCATTTTTACTTCTCTTTATCCCATAGAATTTTTCATCTTGTTCATCACGTTGATTTATGTAGCATATTCAATGTATCCAACGCAACTATGATATTAAATTTCAATTAACTTACTTGTACGGATGATTTTGTACAAGTAGTTTGATGCATGCATAGTCAACGCAGAATTTTCTATACATGTAGCAAAGTATATTAAATTTGAGTGATGCTATGGATACATAATTTTTATCCATAGGGTTCACATAACACTCATATGAGATGGGACTCTGTATAGAATTTTTTGTTAAAATATTTATATTTTTTGGAACGGCCTATTTCGACGAGTGGTAACTTTTGCTACGATTGACCGTTTTGCACGCGATTAAGAATACGATAAACTAGGTCGTGATTATTTCGAAATGGTGTTAAGGATGTAATATTTTGATTTCGTTTAACATTCACGTGATAATTTTGAAATTTGGGACAATAATAAGAAAAAAAGGAAGACGTTGGCACGTTGCTGTGTTGGGTTTGGGTTGTGGTTGGGTGGCTGCGTGGGTAGAAAGGGGTGGGGCGGTGGCTGTCAGGATATTTAGGAATCTTGCAGTGCCACTTCAGACTTTTTAAAATTCTGTAAGATTTCTGTGATAAAAAATCTGTAGTTGTAGCATTATTCTAAATTTCAATTAACTTACTTGAACGGATGATTTTGTACAAGTAGGTTGATGCATGCATAGTCAACCTCATTGTGCAGAATTTTCTATACATTTAGCAAAGTATATTAAATTTGAGTGATGCTATGGATACATAATTTTTATCTATAGGGTTCACATAACACTCATATGAAGTGGGACTCTGTATAGAATTTTTTGTACATGTAGCAAAGTATATTAAGCTCTTGTTTTGTACACATTAAAATTTTCATTTTCATTCTTCTACTCATTTTCAACCACGCATTCTTCAATAAAATAATATTTGTCATCACATCAATAACTTTTCTTTCTTTTTCAACTATAAATTCTTCATCAATCTACTATGTCAGAATACATTCTTCCAAAATAATGTGACTCAAACACACCCTAAATTTAAGTGTTGCTATGAATACATAATTTTTATTTATAGGGGTTCACATAACACTCACATGGGGTAGGGTACATAATTTTTATTCATAGGGTTCACATAACACTCACATGGTGGATCCCACCCCATGTGAGCGTTATGTGAACCATTATGACCCAAAATTATATACCACTAGTATTATTCATTAAATTTTGCATCAATCTTGCATGTTAATCGTCTTATCTTTTCCCCAAACATCTTCATCTTTAGAGTATTTGTACCCTTAACTCCAAATTTCTCATTATCAACCATTATATCATCGCGAGCCACTTGATTTATAATCCTCAAACACATATAGTAAGAACATCCATAATTAAAATCTAAAAATTACTTAGAAAATCATAATTTGCAACACAATCAAAACCATGGTCACACTCGATATCATTACCATTCACAATCATAAAATTTAAGGCCTTTCGAGACTAAATTTTTTTTTTTTTTTTGCGTCGAGATGTTTACCTGTTCCTCATAGTTTCTTCCAATATGTCTAATCGAACACCCCACTCCCAAAACCCATGGAAAATCCTTTTTGGTATTTTTTTTAGTCCAGGTTGACCCCTAAGTTGATGCTTTTAGGTGTCATATAGATGTTTAACGTCTCAAGTACTCAAATCATGCAGATTTTAACACAAATATAATTGTACATGGTAAATATTGTGCTTTCAAACACACGTAGGTCTATATCTACGTGATTAACTTGATACTATGCAACGTCAATTACATGCTACTTTGTGTTTACTCAATACTATGACTTCAATTACTGGATAGTGTGTGATATTGGATACGTGCTATGTTGAATCTGTTGATGGAACAATCTTTTCTGTACTAGGATAAGAATGCATCGACCGAGTCGTTAGTATATGAAGCCTGCCCAAAGCATACCTCTGCGGTAGTTCACGCGTATCATATATGATCATGGGTGTTTCTGTTTATCAGGCTATCAGCGCAACCAACAATTGGATCAATGGGAAACTAGATAAATAAGATATGAAATACTACTACATTGCATGCAATATTTCAGCTTAATGAGAAGTTGAGAATGCCTACAGAAAGGGAAAACAGCGTTCGATTTTCAAGGGGCAGAAGTAAATAACACGTGAGAAACCAGTGAACGAGCATGACTACAGACCCTGTTCTGTCAGATAATCACCAAGCCTCTCGACAATTATATTGCATTGGCCAGGAGTCATAGGCTCATCGTATATTCCAATGACCAATGCTTGGTTGGTCTTCTTGACAGTAATACCACCGGGACCCTGAAAAGAAAAAGAAGTTCAACCACATCAGAATTACGGACCAACTATCAATTTATCATGGCAATGTTCGGGGATGAAATTTGGACTTGGAAGCCCTTGTAAGGTGAGAGTTAATAATCTGGACCCGAAGACAGATTGTTAAAACGCCTGTACACTAACAATCTACCAAGATATTGTTGTTTCTTCTTTCTTCCTCAATTTTCTTGAAGTACAAACCTTTAGAGGCCTTGCACATCATTGCATTAGGTTAATAGTCAACGTCAAACTTCATATAACCTGAATCCTTATATACACATAGTTGGGTTTCTCCGGTAGACATAGCAATGAAAAGAACTGAGTTGCAAAGAAGGATTCATATAACCTGCTCAAATTTACAGAGAGCGAGGCTTAATATTTTGCTGTTTAAGTCTCAACTTGCCTACCTAGTTTTGGACACTTTGTCTATTGCACTTTCAATGAAGTGAACCATGTCACAAATTGCTTATTACTTGGTAAGTAGCATAATCCCCATCTGGAGAATCTGAAAGTTCAAACAAATGAAACTCGATTGCTTGCTCAATTTCAAAGCCAACCAATGCACATCTTATATACTAACTGCATGATAGTCGCCATTCCAAGTTGAACTGCAACTCATCGTAGCCAACATTTATCTCATGGAACTCTTCAATGTATTCTTCAACA